GAACATATAAGCAGTAGCAGACAAGGCTGGCTGGATCCTCAGGCCAACCATGCCCATCTGTTTCTTTTCCTTCCTCCTCTTCATCTGCGGCCTGCAAGGAGTCTCCACCATCACCACAGAAGTGAAGGCAGGGTGCCCGGAACTAATGGTCATCCTGGCAGAGTAGACAATGTAAGATGTCCAGAAAAGTATGGAGGCACACACTCTGGACCTGGCTACCTTGGTCCAGAGTGTTTTTGCCAAGTTATTATGTGGGAGAAATCAATCACTGAAATAATTCATCTAACCTGAAAGAGAAAAGTGGAATAAAAGGATACAATAGATTCTGGGAAAAGGGAATGAACTTACTCAAAAGGAAAGAGCTACTGCATTGAGGAGAAGGACAGGACAAGGAGTTGGGGAAAGAGATTTATCAGTGTATGTAAGCAGGGTGGTTTGGACAACTGTACTATGCGTTTCTGCTGGTCTATGGAAAGGAGTAGATAATTTGTTTTGTCTTCTTTTTTCAATTGATTATACTTTTGCTCTTCTTAATTTCTTCTAAATTTCTTTCTTTTCTTCTTTCTTCCAATTTTACATGCATATGTCTGATAATATGAATAACAGGTTGGAAGATAACACTATGTATTAGGACAAATAATGTGAAATTTGTATTACTTTGTTGAGTGAAATTCTGTATCACTTGTAATTTTTTCTGTTTTAATTCTAATTCGTTTGTACTCTCTTTTAAAAATACAAGTAAAAAATTAAAAGATAAAAAGAAATAATTTATCTACATAAATTTACTTCAGGGTTGGGGAGATACGTCAGTGGTCTAAGCGCCTGCCTGGCAAACAGGGTTTGCCCTGGGTTTGAGCCCTGGTAACACACAGTGTGTCAGCCACCAAAACCAGGTATGGTGGTGCACACCTGTAATCCCAGCACTAGGGAGACTGAGACAGGAGGATCACTATGAATCTAAACTGCATAGTAAGACTCTGTATCAAATAAATAAATAATTTTTAAAAAAAAATAAAACATGTAAATTTACTTCTATATGTGGTAGCGCAAGATTTGAGCCACTAGGTGCAGCTAGGGACCATACTCATAAATGAAACAAATCAGACCCGCATGTGCAAACATCGTATTGTCTCTCTAGTGTAAGAACCTGAAAGGGCAAATAAAATCTGAAAGGCACAATAGATACTATGAAAAGGAAAGGAATTGTTCAAAGGGAAGGAACACTGGGTGAGGGTAAGGAGAAAAGAAAGAAGGAAGGTGAAATTTATATATGCATACAAGATAGCTTGGGTGATTGTACTGCTGGTTTCTACTGGTCTATTAAAAGGAACAGTTAATGCTTAAATTTTTTTCTTCTTTTTAATTTCTTGACTAATTTTGCATGCTTATATCTGGTCCAATTTGAAGATAACAATATGCAATATAACAATCATTGTTGAATTCCTATCATTTGGTTTAGTGAAATTCTTTATCATTTCTAATGTTTTCCTTTACTACTTTTTATCCTCTTTTTTTAAAATGACATTTAAAAAAAAGAAAACCAAAAAAAAAAAGATGTGAGCCATTAGATATGAGTGTGTAAGATCTAATTTTCTGGGTGGTGAATAATGAGTTCATTTCACACCATTCCTTTATATTTTTTTATATCCTCTGAAAAACCTAGCAGGGTTTTCTTGCTTCTGGTGATGTTAGCACTAGGCACACCTGCAGCCACCTCCCTCGTGAAAGCAATGCAAGGCACCAGGGAGGAGGCCCGGGCATCAGAAAGCTGCTCATAAAGAGCTGAGTTAGCCCTTACCAGAGTCCTCCTAAAACCAGGTCCCACCGTAACTGAACAACATACTGCCTCCTCTGGAAGGATCGAGAAGGCTTCCTCTTGGCTTAGTATCTATCTGTTCAACGCTCCTTCTGTGTCTTCTGTTGTCTTGGTGCACGTACACACACACACACACACACACACACACACACACATACACACACACACAAACACACACACACACACTCCCACATCTTATCTCTTTTGCTCTCAGGAGCTCATTCTCCATTTTAGACCTTCTTTTAGTCTCAAAACTTCTGTTTCCACTTCTCAACTTAGATCCCAAGGATAATTCTTGGCTCAAAAAAACCAACACTCAGGTATCCTCAGAAAACCAAATAGCAAGGGCCAGGGAGATGACTCAGTGGAGTAAGTGCTTCCCTGGCAAGCGCAAGGGCCTGAATTCAATCCCGGGTTCCGCCAAAAAAAATTAATTAATTAATTAATTAAAAAAATAGCAGACACGGTTGATCTACCTGTTCCCTTCAAGACCACACACATAGGTCACCACGGGGGACCAGTCGAAGGCCCCTGGCTCCTTCTTCAGCCACTTCTCCAGCTCTCACAGGTTCTGGTCCAGGTAGTCAGTGGTGACAATCTCTTTGAAGGAGTCACACGCAGAAAGGAGCTGGTAGACAGTGGAGCCAGAGCCAATGTCGACCAGGAGGTCGCCTTCCACCCCGCCTGATTGCAGTAAGGAAGGGACAGGGAGACGTCTCCCTGCAGCAGACAGAACTGAGTTACATTGTCCTCCCTCAGACCGTGCCAGAGACAGACTGCCACACACTTCCCGGCTCCAAATCCAGTTTTCAAGCATCTTTTCATTTTCCATGACCCATCCAGAATGAAAGCATATTTAACTGAGCTATTTGAAGGTCTAAAAAAAGAAAAAAGACTTACACCTACTGTACAGATCCCCGATCCAGCAACACTGCTAAATAATGAATGTAAACAGCTAGTAAGGGTCAGGGAGATAGCTCTGCAGCTTAAGCGCCTGCCTGGCAAGCACAAGGTCCCAAATGTGACCCCCAGTGCTAAGAAAAGAAATAAATCATATGAAGGAATACTTTGGGGAGGAACTTTTTCTTTGTTGTTCAAAAGTGTCCCTCCAAAAAAGATTTAAAGGGCCGGGGAGACGGCTCAGTGGAATAAGCGCTTCCCTGGCAAGCGCAAGGGCCTGAGTTCAAGCCCCAGTTAAAAAAAAAAAAAAAAAAAATTTAAAAAAGAAAAGAAAAAAAATAAGGGGCCGGGAAGATGGCTCAGTGGAATATGTGCTCCCCTGGCAAGCACAAGGGCCTGAGTTGAATCCCCAGTTCCGCCAAAAAAAAAAAAAAAAAGAAAAGAAAAATGTCCCTCCAGAATGCCCTTCAAGTTCTTATTGTATCTGGATGTCATTCCCTCTTGCAAATTCACAACATTCCTAATAAATATTGGACTCTCCATTGCTTAAGTATGTCATTGAGGTTAACCAGCTCCCCTGAGTCTCCTTAACAAGTCATGCAGGCTTCGGACAGCACTCGGGCCCCCAAGTCTCTCTCCTCACAACCAAAAGAGATCATGGGTATAGAAATACTTTGTAAACTTGTAAAACAGCTAACCCAGCATTAGTTATTATCCTAGGTTATACCCACTAGTTATGTCTTAGGTAAATAGGTGAAGCCCAAGAACGACATCCAGACCCAAACCCAGCCAGGCCTGAGATCTACAACTCACACAGACAGGAACCACAAGCAACAAACTTACCTGGGCAGAACACCTTGAAAAGATATGTGACAATTTGCCTAAGAATCTGGTTTTCAGAAGAGTTTCTGGACCCAAAATTGCAGTATTTTTCTAGATAATCCAGAGGGTTAAAATATTTTACATAAAAGTCCTTGGAAGTGAAGCCAGATTCCATTGCATCCCCCTCGTGTGTCCCCAACCTGCTGCTCCCCTCCCCTCTCCCAGCAGCCAGGGAGTCGTCCTGCCAGCTTTGTCCTGAGCCTTGTGTCTCCCATCTTTGTCCCACTGGGTCAGCCCACTCTTCTAAGCTCTACCACAAATTGGCCACATACGTGCTATTTTAGGAATTGAGATTGTTGGAAAAGGTACCCTATGAGGGGGTGAGCTGTGTGCAGCGTTTTGCCAAGAGGGAAGGTCAACCACAGAAAACTGCAGACAGGAAGAATCACCCAAGCACACCATGGAAATTATGTGACCCAGAAGAAACCCTAAATTCAGCTCATGTCTGAGCAACACTATCATTTACCTCACTTTTGCAGCTTCCTCCAAAAAAGAGTCACAAAGAATGATTTATATTTAAGCATGCAAGTGTAAGAAAAGAAGAGAAATACATTCAGGGCTTAGGAATGTTGGCCAAAGGAATCTCAGATGCAGCCTAGAAAGAGGAATTTTGAAAAGCTGGGCAAAGATTTCTGTAAAGTCCAGGCTACCTAGCTCACCTGTAACCCTTTCCTTGGGCTCAGACACTCCCCACCACTGTCGCCCCCATCTACAGTTTCAGTCACTGCTATCAGTGCCCCAGGCTCCCTGCCACTTTCCGTTGATTCTAATCCAGACAGTGCTTTCAAAGTGAACACTATACCTCTGTTTCCTTTAAGAATTCCTTACATCTCCATTTCTGAACTCATAATGCTCTCAGAATTCATTACACCCAACCAGGAACTTGATATGGTGCTATTATACATTTGCTCTTGGCTTTCTCTGTGAAATTCCTTTCCCAAACTAAATATTACAGATGTGAAAACTAAACAATTGGCACCCTTAGTCCAAGGACTGTGACTCCACTTTCAGTTCTCATACTCCATGTGTTGTTTCCTTTAGTAGATGTTCAAACCCTGGTTAATTAATTAGCTGCTGTCATATTGTCCCAAATGCAAAGGCAGTGAGTCTCCAGTGCTCTGGATGATGATTTACCAGGGGCCCTTTGGTTACAAGGTACAAAACCTCAAAGAATCTCAAGGAAAAAGAAAATTAAGAAGAGCATATAAACTGGGCATTGTGCTGCAGGTCTGTAATCCGTGTGTAATCCCAGCACTTGGGAGGCTGAGGCAGAAGGATCATTGAGTTCAAGACCAGTCTGGGCTACAAAGTGAGCTCAAGACCAGCCTGGACTGTATAGCAAGGCCCTGTGTCCAAAAACAAAAGCAAAAACAGAGAGAGAGAGAGAGAGAGAGAGAGAGAGAGAGAGAGA